CTTTGCAATTAGCTGACAGATCCGTCACATACCCAAAAGCTATTATTGAAGATGTATTAGTGAAGGTAGACAAGTTCATCTTTTCGGTGGACTTTGTGGTATTAGATATGGAAGAAAATCAAGGATTACCATTGATTTTTGGTCGGGCTTTTTAGGTAACTTGAAGAGCATTGATTGATGTACAAGAAGGAACATTGATATTATGGGTTAATGAAGAGCAAGTAATATTCAAAATCTATTAAGCAAAGAAAGTCTCAGAAAAAATCAACACTTACTACATAGTCCAATCAATTGACACAGTGGAGGGGACCAAAGAAATGGTGGGTTTCATACAAGCTCAAGAAGCCGATTCACTTGACAGAAAGAAGAACTAAATTGAAAAACCTTTGAAACCTCTCAACATTATCAAATCAAAAAAGGTTTTGAAGACCATATCGGAGTTGAAGCCGCATCCTAATCGTAGTGGCCATACTATATTGAAGAAGAGTTCAAAGCCGAGTAACAACTTTGGAAACATGAGAGAAGTGCCGCCAAACGACCCAACTTAGGCACTTCAGTTATGTCAAGCTAACTACATTAAAGAAGCGATTCTTATAAGGTAACCCAAGCTTTTTATCTCTACACCTCTTAGTTTTTTGACATTAGTATCAAAATTTTGTTAGTAATGATTTTTTTTTTTAATTTTTTGTCTTTCTTATTCTATAGGAAATCTCAAGTTTGACGGGGAAGAAAGAAGAAGAATCCATCAAATCTAGCATCATAGCACTAAGACGTCATTTACAATGCAAACAATTCAGGGAAGTTCCCCTCATTTTCCTTTAATTTTACATTGTCCCCAATGTTTAGTTTAAGTTTTGGAGGTAAAATATAAATTGTCTAATTGCCTTAGAATTTTATTTATTATTATTTTTTATTTTTTTTGTGTGCTATTTAAAAAAAAAAAATGCTTGTGTGAGTTGGAAAGCATTGTTGGCAATGATGAATATATTTGAAGATATGAATTAGTTGTGAATTATGACTTGATTATATGCTCGAACTGAAGTCTTACTTACCTTTGCAAAATGTGACATAAATGCACGTGAATTGAATATAACATTGGACAGGAATATGATGATTCATAAATGATATAGATTGAATTAGTGACCCTGGAAGCTGAATCCAAACAACCACTAAACTAAAATTTGCATCCTTTAACCGGCTTTAGGATACTTTGGATGGTTGAATTGTTATAGGGAGACATGAATGTAGATTTAGATTTTGTGTATGCTAAAATTTGAGTGGATTGTCCGAGGCCTATAGGATGAAAATTGGGTGAAAAACTTAAGTTAGGGGTCGATTCTCGAAGAATGAGTGTTTAATAAGGGGCATTGCACTAATCACTGCATAAAAGGGAAAAAAATCTCAATGAAGACAACTATAATAATCTCATTATGTAGCATCTCTTCATAGCATTTATGACTTGAGTAACTAAGCCACAAGGGTTTAAAACTTGATGCTCTAAAGTTATCTGATTTGAAAGTTATCAGCCAAAAACTAATTATAGGGGTCATTTAGAAAACTTAATGGAGAGACGACCGTGTATAACATTAATAATATATATATATAAACTATAATGGGTAAGAACTTGATCAAACTGGATAGGGTAAGGAGTAGTGAAATGAAGAATGACCTCAAAATACACCCCTGGGAAGACAATGAAAATAAATTAAGTTTGAGGTGTGTGAACCCCACGAGCGAAAAAAGGAAATATTTGACTTTTAAGATCAAGAATTAAATTAACTTATAATTATTCTGTATTGTATTTGATTCTTCATACACACACTCATTTTGCATTGGAAAGGTAAGGATTTGACTTATGCATTATAATCTTGAAATACTTCATAAATTTAATATCATGTTTTCTTTTCTGAGCCAGAAAGACAAGTTATCCAACTAAATCATGTGAAGTGAGTCTGTTGTTTGTGTGTGTTAGTTATAGTATTGTGTTATTTTGTGTTTCCTCGAGGACAAGTAAGGAATTAACTTTGACGGTATTTGATGAGTGCATATCACTCATTGAATTAGCACCTCCAAAACATAGTTCTTGGTTTGCTCTTGAGAACTATTGAGTGTTTTTATGAGATTGTTCAAATTGTTTTGTAGTTTAAGTAACTTAATGAAATGGCGTATTTTGGAGTTTAGAATGAAGTTAAATTGTTGATCATTGAAGTAGGCATGGAGTGAAGACGAAAGAAGAGAAAAATAAAGTAGAAAATCGAGGTTTAAAACAAAGGGAACATGTGGGCAAATGAGGAAAAATCAGCAGAGAGATGACAATACTGCTGTCATTGCGGCGCCGCTACCCAAAGGTTAAAAAATCAGATTTTTTGGAGAGTTTTTGGCTCGGTTCATCCCAACTTGTCTTGAAACTTCAAAACACTATAAATATAATTCTAAAGACCACTTTTTGGGAGGGGGGAGAATTCTTCGAGTCAAGAGCAAGAATTGAAGGGGCAAGGTTCAAGATATTAAGATGGAGGCAAAGGCAACTTGGTGGAGAAGATTGATTCAACCATCCAAAAAATATTTTATATTTCTTCCCTTCATATTATTCTTTATGAATTGTGTAAATTTCATGTTCCATACCACAAACAAAATAATTTTTCTAAGGCTTGATTAGCCAAAACTTGAGGATATGATTTGATTTTTCCAATTCCATTTATCTGTGTTGTTGATTTAATAATTTCAATGGTCATTAATTGAATGATTAGATGCTTGTCAATTCCGGTACTCGAGAGGGGATTTAAGCACGGTCATAACAATAACATAACTTAAATTTTATAGGTTTCGAGAGAAAGTGTAGAATGTATGAAGTTCTTTCTAAGAATCACAATCTTGATTTTAATTTGGAATAGAGATATTGAAATTAATTTTTACTCGGTATTCAAGAAAGATGGTAAAATTACATTATGATTTTTGCTTATAAACATGGAAAGTTGATTAGAGATAATTAGGTTTTGAAAATTATATTTGATAGTTAGGTGAAATCATACAATAAGTTCTCTTATATTGATTAATTCTTATAACTTGCTTTTATTTATTAAATTCGCCACAGCCATCCCTAATTTAGTTAAAATCATTGATTCCAAATTGTGTTCATCTAGATAAAATAAGAGTTACACAATTATGTTACTTGGTAGAAATTAAATATCAATCTCTGTGTGCGACATCCTAACTCTATTATTATATTACAAAATTTGATACCGTATATTTGCGATATAATTTACGTTGTATAAAACGCGTGACACATGAATAGAAGAATTTATTGTCCGTTTGTTTCTCATTTTTCATCAATAAAAATGAAAAATATGACCGTTATCTATCACATCAAGCCATCGATTTTAAATTTTTATTTCTTATGTGAGGCCCAATAACAACTATATTTTTCATTCTCATTTTACAATAATGAGAATCAAACAGGCCCTTAAGTGAAGAATTTTTCGAGATACTTTAACAAATAAGATCATTATGGATGACATCAAATTCACAAAGAAACTCAATCAATCAGAGACTTGAAATCTTAAATTTGATGTCTAGCATCCAAAAATCGAGTATTACATACAATCCACAAAATAATCTTGGTATGGAAGGCGTTTTTTATGCATACTTAAGAAGTAATTAACTTCATCACTCAGTGTATGACTTTTAATTAATTAATCTTTAATTAATGGAATTCTGCGCCTAACTTAATGGTACAAAATTTAAATCGTCACATGGGATTTGAAAGCAAAGAATAAATAAATAGTTCTCTTTCATTAAAACCTGTAATTGTACGTTTCTATGTAGTTATTGATTTATTGTCGAGCAACGTTATCATAAATAATTCAGTTATTTTCGACTAGATTTAGCTTTGGACTCCATTTTAACGAGATTTTAGAAAAAAAAAAAGTATTTTGGAATAATAATTTTTTAGAGAATGTATTGTTAATAAGTGAGAAAAAATTTTGAGTTTACGTGTAATATTATTTTATTGAAGAATGTGAGATTGAAAATGAAGAAAGAGAATATACATTAAATTAAAATGGAACCAAAGGCGGAGCTCATTAGATTGTTCAAAGTATACGACTTTAATTAATATTTATGACTTACCCTTCAAAGAAAATAAAATCGATTAAGATTCACCCGATTTCTTGAATAAGACAAATTCCGCCTTTGATTTAGCTAAAAATCAAATTTTTAGTAAATCTTGATAAAATTCGATAAAATATGTAGTTGAAAAGTTAATAAAAATTATGAATATCATAAAATATATAATTAAAAATGAGTTTAAGGAAAAATATTTTTTTGAAAATGGGAACCAAACAAAAACTAAGCAAAATTAAATGAAAATTACAAGTCTAGATTCACCAAGATATAACAAAATCAACTAAAAAATTTACCATAAACATTAATAATAATTAAATTAATACCATATGTGTATTTTCAAACTTTGAATAGTATTATGTCCATCTTTGACAACCATTAAGATTCTTTAAATCTCGTATTTAATTCAATTTCATATTTACACAGTAAAATATTTTGTACGTAAATTCAAAACGTTTCCATACTTTTTAAATTTTTAATCACACATTCTTAAAAAATCACTATTCAAAACTCCATTTTTTTCAAATTGATGACAATCAAACAGTCGAAAAATGCCCCGTTTAAAAAGTAAAGAAAATTTATGGACATGTATATAAAATTATTTTATTGATAGAACGTGATGTTGAAAATGAGTTCAAGAAAAATAAATTTTAAAAAATTTATA